GAGAGATTTTGAAGGTTCTTGTACTCGTCGTACTCCTCATCTTCTGCTTCATCCGGGGCCAGGTTGGAGGGGCCGCAGTCCCAGCAGAGACTCTCAGACTTTCCTCACCAGAGACACCTCCTTCAGCTCCGCTGGGGGAAGCCAAAGGCAGGCCCAGGACCCAGACCATCCAAGACACATAGTCCCTCCTTCATGTCCTGGGTCGTCCCCTGGGTCTCCTCCCGGTGGGATGTACCTGGAACTCCTCCCCAGGGAGGCATACAGGGAGCATCCGAAAAAGATGTTTTTTATTTTAATAGTTTAGAAAATCATTTTTTATGTGGTGTAGTAATTTAATACAATATAGATTGGACCGTTGTTTATTTTAATTTGAAGTTTCATGATTAACACGTGATAAAATCTGTGCTATTCCAAAAAAAGTTAAAAACAAAAGCACAGGACTTTTTTCCAAATTTGTGTTTAGCTAGCATTAGGTTCTGTCATAGCTGGAAAGCTGCTCTAATCCCAGGGAAGCGCGGTCATATAAATCAGCTCAGGCAGATTTTAAGACATGCCACAGCTGTGAATCTGACTGATGGGGGGGTTAGATTATTATTATTATGATTATATTATTATTATAATTATTTTTATTATTAGATTATCATTATTATGTCCCTAAAAATGTTTGTTCATTTTCCAAACCCTCCCTTTCTAAAGTTGTGTGCAATGTTAATTTGAGATGTTTATTAAAATTTGCCCCTGACAAGCTTTCCAAATTGTTTCATCATGGGATTTTTTTTTTCATTTTTCAGAGCCCAAGGTCACAGTTTAGTTTTACAAATGATCTGAATAAAATAAATTGTTGCCAAAATAAAAGCTTGTCAGTAAAATTAAATGGATTTATAACATGTTGCATGTTGTTGGGACTGGGTCACTGCAACAGTCCAACCTTTTAAATACATGTTTTGGAAGATCTTTCCCATGTTGTCATAGTTAAATGAAAATGTATTGATACTTACAAATAAATAAATTGAACATTTATGGCTGTTTAGAATTATCCCAACATTTCCAGTTTCCTATAGACACAAAACTACTGAACATCATTAGGCTGCTTGAAATGATCTTGGATGTTCTTATTGTCAATCAGTCCAAACTCAATTAAAAACACTTTCATGATACATCTTGTGTTCCAATCTTTGGCTTCATCTTTACTTTTATTATTGCGGTTAAACAGCAGTTTGCAGATTCACATTTGTCCTGCATTCCCACATTGCAGCTGAAAACCTGGATTTTCTCTTCAAATCGATCACTGTTGACATGAAAGCCTTTTTAATCCTAAAACCTTTGTTTGTTTTAAGTGATTCATTAATATTTAAATTTCTGCTGTTTTCCACTTTATTTTAAACTTTTGTCCTTAACACATTTGAGAGATATTTAGACCATAAAGCACTGCAAGAAAACAGTGATTATTTTTAAACAAGTTGTGGTCGAGAACCCAGTTTGCTTTACTTCACAATTTTTTTTTTTCTGCACATTTTTTTCTTCAAACAAATTTGCAGTGAAATGATTCCATTATATTTACCCTATGATGGTTAAACTCTGGTCGCTCTGGCATTCAACAATTGGCTGCAAAGCCAAACAGCTTTTTCTCATTTGGATATAACTGGTCTATTGCGGGTCATTTGAGTATGGGGTAAGATGACTGTCAATAAAAAGGCATGTGTACATGTTTGTAAATGTAGGTCAATAAACATAATAAGATTTGTATTTACACCTTTTATACATATATGTGACATCATGATGTTTTGTCTGTGGAAATACAGCTTTAACAGTTATGAATACAAGTTACAACTAAAAAATACAGGTAAAATCACAAATTCACAAGATTTTGAGTATGAATCTAAAACCTGTGATGAAGCTGTTGCACTCCTTACCAGTTAGTGGCAGTAATGCACTTTATGGTTGTCTGCATACTGCCTTTAAACACATAGAAGAGGAAAAAGACTAAAGCAAAATCATCATCGTGTGTTATATCCACTGATCTCTATTTATTCACTGGATTGCTGTTAGGCCGAAAAAAACTAAAGTCACCTGCCACCATCTTGGTACTCCCCACTCTCACGGAGTCGCACCATAAAATGCCTCTAATGAAATTACCATAACAGTGTAATCAAAACATCTTTATTACATGTACATCATCAATTTAGCACGTTTGGCACATCATCAGATAGTGTGTGTGTGTGTGTGTGTGTGTGTGTGTGTGTGTGTGTGTGTGTGTGTGTGTGATATTCTTAATATCTGACTACAGTGATGACGCACATATTGTTTACATTTGGGCCGATCTTTGTAGGGAGTACCAATATGGTGACTGGTGACTTCACAGCACCGTGTACTACCAACAGCTTATCAGCAATCCATTGAATAAATCGAGATCAGTAGTTTTACCTTTACTATTGCTTTAAATGCAGTCACCGTGCAACTTTTAGTGCTTCAGTTTTCTTCCTCTTTCTCTTCTTCTCTTTTAAAGACAGTAGGCAAAATCTTTTAAGTGCATAACCTCAAACAGCTGGGAAGGAGTGGAATGGTTGCATCAGGGGTTTTAGATTCGTACTCGAAAACTCGTCATTTTTACCTGTGAGTTTAATTTGAGCCTTTTGTAACATTCGTACATTTGTGGTTAGTGGTCTTATATTTTTGAGTGCTAATCGTACCTTTTTTATATTAACTTGAAAATACGGTATGTGATTTTTACTTGTAAATTTGTGATCTTCATTTGTACATTTGTGACTGTAATCATACTGTTTTTTTTTATTTTTGCTTTAAAATTTATGAATTTGACTCAAATTTGTGATTTTAACTTATTAATTTGTTATTTCCACTTGTAAAGTTGTGATTGCAATCATACTTTTTTTATTTTTGCTTGTAATTTTGTGATCTATGTCTGTAAATTTATGACTGTAATCATACATTTTTAAAATTTTGCTTTTAAATTTGTGAGTGGTAATCGTAATTTGTTTTGCTTTTATATGTACATTTTTGAGCGGTAATTATGCATTTTTTATTTTTTCTTGTAAATTTTTCATGTAATGGTGTAACTTGAAGCTATGTAATTTCTAAATTTGTTTTCTTGGTTGAACTATTTGTTTCTACAGCTAGTTACCGCAGGTGGCGAGGAACAAATAAAAATTTAACTAGATATATTGACAGATTTAGAAATTTATACGACTATGCATGCATGTTTATTTTGCCCCGTATTTTAAGGCCACAAAATTGATGCACAATTTCTGGCAGAAAGCACATTTCCATCTTAGTGATTTCTGTTAAATTAGTATCTGGTCTAAATGTAATAAACTATGATAATGATGTGAAGGAAAATGCGGTAAAAACCAACCTGGTACTCTTTGAGATGCAGAGATAAGCCCAGTTTGAACCAGTCACCTTTTCACCACGCGGTGCCTTTATTCTTTTTACGACACTGTTTACATCCCACGAGAAGCATTAATTAGACTCCTAGCACATTTTCACACAAAAACACGGACACTCTGTCAACGGTGTGACGGCACTATACGTTTACAACCTAAAACTGCGGTAGGAGAGAGAGAGATGTGTTCACATACATCAGAGTTAGAGTTCTTGCAGAAACCCGTTTAATGGCCACTTAAACATAAATATATTCCCTTAAATAAAACACACACAATTCCCCGTTGGTGTGGTCAGCTATGCAGAAACATTAGTAAACAGATGCGTTTGAATGTGTGTGTTTGGGCTGGGGGTGGCTTGGTCTGTTCAGAAGTGTGCCGGGGAAAGAATTGCGCTGGTCCCTGTGTGGATGGGGCCCTTTGGCAGGACTCCAGCTCTGACACTGGCTCCTTCCATGGCCCAGCAGCAGGAGGTCCATATGCAGCGTCCATCCAGCCCCGCTGCTGTGGGAAGCCTGAGAGAGCTGTGGCAGAGCAGCCTCAAAGCTCATCAGAGCCTGGGGGTCAAGTTTGGGAGTGGAGGGTTCACTACTGTTTGAGTTCCAGGGCCCAGACATGCTGAGGCCATCCTGTCCGACCTTTGCTCTTCTTATCTCCTACTGACAACGAGGACGAAGATGAGGAGGCAGCTTTAGGGATCTCCACCTGCAGACATTTCAAATGTCATTATTAGACAGGACAAGTGTCTGAGTACATGGAATGAGCTAAAGGGATAAAAACAGAATAGCTTTCTAACAGTACTTTGGCCTTTTATGTCAAGTAAGATTTAGAACTGTTCTTACTTCAATTAATTCATGCAGCTAGAAAACTCAGAACGAGGTCTCTAATACAGAGTGATAAAAATAATGTAAAGTGAATATTAGGTTAGGAAAACCATTTTTATTTATAATTCAATAGAAAATCAATTCAGTAACTCTCATTGTAAAAACCCTCTGTTATTTTCTGGCTAGGTACCGGATTTTTGTTTTCCATGTTGGCAAAACATCAGAATAATAATAACTGCTTTAAACCTAAAAGGCTGGGTTGTATTAAGTAACACAAAAAATAAATGATACAGAATGATGATGGATGGACGGAGGGACGGACAGATGGATGTGTTTACTATAATTGGTGGGAGCATGTCTCATCCTGTATCCTTGCTTTGATTCAGCCTCCATGCTTCCCTTAGCGGTAAACCACTGCAGCAGAAAAACCCACAGAATCCACCATCAGTCAGGCTGTTCATTAGAGAGCAGAAGCACCATCAACCAGGCTGTTCATTAGAGAGCAGAATCTACCATTGACCAGGCTGTTCATTAGAGAGCAGAAGCACCATCAACCAGGCTGTTCATTAGAGAACAGAATCTACCATTGACCAGGCTGTTCATTAGAGAGCAGAATCTACCATTGACCAGGCTGTTCATTAGAGAGCAGAAGCACCATCAACCAGGCTGTTCATTAGA